TAGTAGTAGTAGTAGTAGAAGTAGTAGTAGTATAGTAGTATAGTAGTAGTAGTAGTAGTAGTAGTAGTAGTAGTAGTAGTAGTAGTAGTAGTAGTAGTAGTAGTAGTAGTAGTAGTAGTAGTATTGTAGTAGTAGTAGTAGTAGTAGTAGTAGTAGTAGTAGTAGTAGTAGTAGTAGTAGTAGTAGTAGTAGTAGTAGTAGTAGTAGTAGTAGTAGTATCAGTAGTACTAGTAGTAGGAATAGTCGCAGTACTACAGGTAGTAGCAGCAACAACCTTAGTAGTAGTAGAAGCAGTAGTAGTATAAGCAGGTGTAGCAGTAGTGGTAGTAGTAGTAGTAGTAGTAGTAGTAGTAGTACTAGTAGTAGCAGTAGTAGTAGTAGTCGTAGTAGTCGTAGTAGTATGAGTAGTAGTAGCCGCAGCCGTGGTACCACTACTTTTTGCAATTGCCGCAGTCGGAGTAGTACGAGCCCTGGTAGTAGTAGTAGTAGTCGTCGTAGTAACAGCAGTGGTAGTAGTCGTAGTAGGAGCAGTAGTAGTAGTAGTAGTAGTAGTAGTAGTAGTAGTAGGAGTAGTAGTAGTAGTAAGAGCCGTCGTGGTCGTAATCGTCGTCGCCGTCGTAGTTGTAGTCGTAGAAGTAGTATCGCAGTGCTAATAATAGTAGTAGCAGTGATAGTAGTAGTAGTAGTAGTAGTAGTAGTAGTAGTAGTACTACTACTACTAGTACTAGTACTAGTACTAGTCGTCGTACTATTAGTAGTAGTAGTAGTAGTCGTCGTCGTACTATTAGTAGTAGTAGTAGTAGTAGTAGTAGTAGTAGTAGTAGTAGCGGTAAGTGCAGGAGTAGAAGAAGAAGTAGTAGTAGTAGTAGTAGTAGTAGCAGTAGTAGTAGTAGTAGTAGTAGGAGGAGTACTAGTAATATTAGTAATAGAAGTAGCAGGAGTAGTAGTAGTAGTGGTACTACTAGCAGTAGGAGTAGTAGGAGTAGTAGTAGTAGTAGTAGTAGCAGCAGTAGTAGTAGGCGTCGTCGTCGTCGTAGCGAAAGTAGTTGTAGGCCGAGTTGTAGCCGTATGCGTAGTCGTAGTGGTAGTAGTAATAGCGTAGTTCCAGAAATTGCAGTGAAAGTAGTAGCGGTAGTACTAGGAGTGGTAGTAGTACTCGTAATAGTCAGAGTAGTATTAGCAGCAGTAGCAGTGGTAGTTGTAGTAGTACAGGTACTAGTACTAGTACTGGTAGTTGTATGCGTATCAGTCGTAGCAGTAGTAGTAGTAGTAGTAGTAGTAGTAGTAGTAGTAGCAGTAGTAGTAGTAGTAGTAGTGGTAGTAGTAGTAGTAGTAGTAGTAGTAGTAGTAGTAGTCGTCGTCGTCGTCGTCGTCGTCGTCGTCGTCGTCGTCGTCGTCGTCGTCGTAGAAGTATAAGTCGAAGTAGTAGCAGTATTTCCCGGCTGGTGCACTTGCGCCTGGTGGTGGTGCATGTACGTACGCATGTATGTAGGTGTGTATGTATGTATGTATGTGTGTATGTTTAAATGTATACGTCTGTACGATATGGATGTATGACTGTATGTATGGTATGTATGCATGTATGGATGCATGTGAGACATCGTGGACCTCCTCGGTGGAGGTGGGCTCCCTGGTGGTGTCGGCATCGCTTCTCCTCCCTCCGAAGACCGTCGCTGTCCTCCTCGTCGGACAGCCAGTCCGTCACTGGGTCGTCCTCGTAGTCGACCTCCCCGCCGTGGTCGGGGTCGAACCAGCAAGGGAGGCAACTTATCACGGAAGAGCTGCGTTGCAGCCCAGGGAACGAGTGCCAGCCACAAGGAGACCTGCAGTAGCCGCACTGGGGCATGCCAAAACGGCTGGGCATCTGGGCAAAAACGGCTGCAGAGGGAGAGAGAGACAGAGAGGGAGGGAGAGGCCTCTTAAGAGCTTCTAGAGGGCTTCCCTGGCTTGCCGCTGAAGGGCTTCGAGAGGGCTTCCCCGGCGCCTTCTTTGCAGCATGAGCGAAGTGCAGGAATGGGCCAGGAATGGGCCAGGGCTTCCCCGGCGCCTTCTTTGCAGCATGAGCGAATGCCAAAAACACAGTGCTTGTTGGCAGTGGACAGCATGATAAATATGTATGCACGAGGAACTACCGTTACTGACCACTCTCTGACGTAGGCCACCCAGCATCTAGGACACTACCAGTTACGCGCTCCTCCAATTGCCGAGCCGCAACAAGCTAGTCACGAACCACAGCGCCTCGTGTACACTTTGTGCCGTTGCTACTAGGACAAGCACAACCACGTAACACTACCTAGTACACCTACCACCGAAGACCACCTAGCACGAACAAGAACCGCCCACCGACCTACTACCACCAACAAACACCACCAGTAATGAACAACAGAGCACCTACTACGAACGTCGATGACGGCCAGGACCATCGATGAGAGAACCACCAGGTGTAAGTGCACCCGATATGTATTATGTGTAGTTGTAGCTGCATTGGTAGTGGTAGCAG